GCGATCATGGATCACGCTGCGACCATCGCTGCACTTGTGGCCGTTCTCAACACCTCGCAGCTTATCATACACCTTTCCCTGAGGCAGATGAAGAGTAATCAGGCGAGGAGGCTACGACACCGCCGTGATGGCCTGAAGTCGGAGAGTAGCACAGAGCTGTCAGAAACCACGAGCCCCAGCGCCCAGGACATCACGGTGGCAATGGGTCATGTGGATATCGTGGAACGGCGATTCTGGGCCCGGGAAACAAGCACGGACTGGTGGGACCGTATAGTGCTTCAGGTCTGGGATGAATCCCAGTGGCTGCGAAACTTTCGCATGCGGAAGGGGACTTTCCTCGAACTTTGTGAATTGCTGTCCCCTGCCCTGAAGCGCCAGAATACCAGGATGAGAGCAGCCCTCACAGTTGAGAAGCGAGTGGCCATAGCCCTCTGGAAGCTTGCAACGCCGGACAGCTACCGGTCAGTCGCGAACCACTTTGGTGTGGGCAAATCTACCGTGGGGGTTGTTGTCATGCAAGTAGCCAAGGCGATCGTGAAGGTACTGCTCCCAAAGGTAGTGACCCTGGGAAACGCGCAGGTCATCATAGATGGCTTTGCCGCGATGGGATTCCCAAACTGCGGTGGGGCTATCGATGGGACTCACATCCCTATCCTGGGACCGGACCACCAGGCCAGCCAGTACATCAACCGAAAGGGCTACTTTTCAATGGTGCTGCAAGCACTGGTGGACCATCGGGGACGGTTTACAAACATCTACGTCGGATGGCCGGGCAAGGTTCATGACGCTCGCGTGTTCAGGAACTCTGGTCTGTTTAGACGGCTGCAGGAAGGTATTTACTTCCCAGACCACAAAATAACTCTTGGGGATGTGGAGATGCCTACAGTCATCCTCGGGGACCCAGCCTACCCGCTAATGCCCTGGCTCATGAAGCCCTATACTGGCGCCCTGGACACAGAAAAAGAACTGTTCAACTACCGTCTCAGCAAGTGCAGAATGGTGGTGGAGTGTGCTTTTGGCCGTCTCAAAGGGAGATGGAGAAGCTTACTCACTCGCTGTGATCTCAGTGAAACCAATATCCCCATCGTTATTGCAGCTTGCTGTGTGCTCCACAATCTGTGTGAGAGCAAGGGGGAGACCTTTATGGCGGGGTGGGAGCTAGAGGCAAATAGCCTGGCTGCTGATTACGTCCAGCCAGACAGCCGGGCCATTAGAAGATCCCAGCGGGACGCCCTGTGCATCCGGGAGGCTTTGAAAGCTAGGTTCCTGAGTGAGCAGGGCAACCAGTGACTTTTCAGTTTGTGGACAGAAAAGCTGAACCTGCCCCCGTTTCTTTACCCAGTTCATTTTCACTATCCTCTCCAGTTACATACCCCCTTCACCCCCTTCCCCTTCCCAAAAAATAAAATCATTTAGATTTTGTTAATGAACACCGTTGTCTGTATTGCTGTTTTCGCGGGAATATTTTAAACCTGGGACGCAGACTGTGGCGGGGGGCGGGTTTAGGGTTGTGATGCAAATGATGCTTCTAAACTCCCGGAATGACAGGCTCCGCACTGGTGGACTGGTTATTTCAATGGAGCCTGCCAGCACTCCTGGGGGGGACTGTGTGTATGTGTCGGCTATGTGACTTTCTGGCAGGGGGGGTAGGGTTACATATCCCCTGCTGCGTGGATCTGTGATCCATGATAAGGACCGCTGCATAAGATCTGTAACTGCCCTCCCCCGCCACAAAGTCACAGAGCAACCCCCCCCCAGAACATGAAAAACACCTCCCAGACTGACCAGGGTAACCAGTGACTGCACTGTGTATGTGTCCTGATGCTGGACCTGACACCGCCTCTGTACCCTGCTAAAGGTCACTGTCCTGTCCAATTACCAAGCCCCTTCCCCCCCTCCAGACAGACTCTCCCTCAAAAGAACCTGACTGAAACAGTAATGAACAGAAACATATTTTTTCTTAACAACCAGACAGGAAACTGGGGGGTGAAAGTCGGACGGGGGCTTGGGTGAGGCGGGCAGGAAAGGACTTTTCAAATTTTGGGGAATGACAGCCTTCTGGTGCTTGAGCAGTCTGCAGGGGTGGAGTGAGAGTTTTCACGGACTCTGCCACCCCTCCTTCTTTGGACTTTGGGAGAGGGGGGGTATGGGACTTGGTGGCGGGGGACTGCGGTTCCTGATAGACTGCAGCGGGGCTCTGTCCTCCTGCCTCCGTTCCTGCAGAACATCAACAAGGCGCCGGAGCGTGTCCGTTTGCTCCCTCAGAAGTCCAAGCAGCGTTTGAGTCGCCTGCTGGTCTTCCTGCCCGCCACCTCTCCTCACGTTCCATGTGTGTCCGGTGCATTTGTGACAAATTCTCCCTCCACTGGTTCTGCTGTGCTGCCTGGGCTCAGGAGCAGCCCATTAGTTCTGAGAACATGTCCTCTCGCGTCTTCTTCTTTCTCCACCTAATGTGCACTAGCCTCTGGGAGTGTGATGCCAAGCTGGGTTGGGAGACAGTTGCAGATGTGGCTGTGGGAATGAGGAAAAGGCAGTGAATTCCTCCGAAAGAAAAATGTGGTTGTGAATCAAGAACATAGTTTTTCTCTGTGAACAAGACCATGAACCACACCTATCACATGCGCACTCAGGACAAGGTCGAATTTTCGAACCTCGCCTTCAGTGCCTGGGCTTTTGCACTGCCGATCTGGGAAGCGGGGCAGGACACGGTACTCTCTGTAGCAGGCAAACATGGTAAGCCGTAGACTTGTGGCTGCTTAAAACTGTAGGAGTACCACTGGCCTCCTTTCACGTTGAAAGCACTGCCAGTCTGTGCTGCCAGCAATCGGCCAAGCAGGAACTCTGGCCCTGTCCCACCCCCTCGCGGATGAGCCAGGGAAAGATCCCTGTATGCTGCCCCTCTCCCGCCCCCACCGCGTGGCTGTAAACCAGCGGTCACAGTTCTGTAAAGGAACTTGTTGCAAGCAGTCCCAATACTAACAGTCCCCTACCTAATTCAAAGCAGGTCATCATGAGCGACATAACTCTCATGAGGATCCCGGACACCGAGATCCAACGGATGCTTCGAGAAAGCCTGCAGAGACCGGGGCCCTATGCCGCCATGCTATGCAAGGCAATGATACCGGAGTACCTGCTTGTCTCCTGGCGCGGGAACGTCTCCTACTTCGGAGGACCAAGTAAAGCCGCTCTCCCCAGGAACCTGATGAACAGGCTATCCCATTACCTGCAGCAGAGCTTTGTGGAGATGTCCGTGGAGGACTACTGCTCTATCCCCGGACATATAGACAGGATTCTAATATAGCTGCAGTAGCAGGCACTAAAGAGTGGAGCAGCTTGGGCAGCACAATCATGCACAACCGGACACTGTTTGATTTTTTTTAAATAGTTGTTACTGATTACTTAAGCGCCCAGGGGGAAGAAATCATGATTCATAGATTGTTCTTAGTATTAATATTCAAGTTTTGTAAAAAATAAAGGTTAATATGTTTAAAGCACTTACCGCTTGATCCTTCGCCTGAATCTGTGTCCAGGTTACATGCTGGGGAGGGTTGGTAGGGGATCTCTGTAAGGGTGATGTAGAGCTCCTGGCTGTCGGGGAAATCAGCTTGGTAAGCGCTGTCGACTGCCTCGTCCTCCTCATCTCCTTCTTCATCTTCCCCGTCCGCTGTCATGTCCGACGAGGAACCGGCCGCGGACATGATCCCATCCTCGGAGTCCACGGTCAGTGGTGGGGTAGTGGTGGCGGCCGCAGCAAGGATGGAATGCAGTGCCTCGTAGAAACGGGATGTGTGGGGCTGGGATCCGGAGCGTCCGTTTGCCTCTTTGGTCTTCTGGTAGCCTTGTCTCAGCTCCTTGATTTTCACGCGGCACTGCGTTGCATCCCGGCTGTAGCCTCTCTCTGCCATGGCTTTGGAGATCTTCTCGTAGATCTTAGCATTCCTTCTTTTGGAGCGCAGCTCTGAAAGCACGGACTCATCGCCCCACACTGCGATGAGATCCAAGACTTCCCGATCAGTCCATGCTGGGGCCCTCTTTCTATTAGATTGCACGGCCATCTCTGCTGGAGAGCTCTGCATAGTTGCCACTGCTGCTGAGCTCCCCTCGATGTCCAAAGAGGAACTGAGATTCAAACTGCCCAGACAGGAAAATGAATTCAAATTTTCCCGGGGGTGTGGCTGGTCAGAGCATCCGAGCTCTGACTGCTGTCCAGAGCGTCAACAGAGTGGTGCACTGTGGGATAGCTCCCGGAGCTATTAGCGTCGATTTCCATCCACACCTAGCCTAATTCGATATGGCCATGTCGAATTTAGCGCTACTCCTCTCGTTGGGGAGGATTACAGAAATCGATTTAAAGAGAGCTTTATGTCGAACTAAATGGCTTCCTGGTGTGGACGGGTGCAGGGTTAATTCGATATAACGGCGCTAAAGTCGACATAAAAGCCTAGTGTAGACCAGGCCTTAGAGCGCTGGCCAGGGAGCCATGCGTCGTAGCTCCGGAGGTCCCTGGTATCTGCCCCACTGTCGGGTAAGATGGCGGCCATCACAAGCAGGGCTGCTGCACTGGCAAATGCCTCCAGCAGCCCCCGCCCTCCTGTCTTGCCGTTTATCTGACCCAGCCACTGCTCTGCCACGGAGCTTCCCGCTGCACCCCCAGAGAATCTGCTGCCCCTTCCGGCCGTGGGTCAGCATCAGGCTGACACCTGCAGCAGCCTGCGGGGAGGTGGGTGTGGCTTGTTGCAAGCTGAGAGCGCGCTGCCTGCCGGGGGCTCTGGGAATATGTCAGAGCTCAGCTCGCTGGGCTTAGCTGTCGAATGGGAATACCCAGTGGTAGCATGGGGCGACCCTGTTAATACCCAGAGGGGACCCTGCCCTGGTGATCTCTCCTCCCAGGTTTTAGGGCATGAGCTGTACTCAGTAGGGGGTGGGTTGCAGTGATGGTGGATGCTCTAGGTCCTCCTCCCCCTGCTATGATCTGACCCCTTCTCCCTTTCCCACGGCAGCGTCGTGCCTCCGGTGCCTGGTGGACGTGGTCCCGGTGAAGAACGAGGAAGCAGCCGTCATCATGTTCATCCTGAACTTCGAGGACCTGGCCGAGCTCATCGCCAAGAGCGCCAGCCGGAGTCTCCACCAGCGACTGTCCCAGGGCTGGCGCCAAGGTGAGCGAGAGCCGGGGTCCCCAGGCGGGGATGGGGGGGAGGGCGGGGGGTTGTGTAGATTCCGCTTGGTGAAGCCGACCCTGGAATTTTCTCTGGAACTCGGAGGTGCCTGAGCCGTGGGGCTAGTGGCCTGGTTCGGGGCCTGAGCTCCTGACCAAGCGGTGGCCTCGTTGCCGATTGGCTCTGGGAGGCGGCGTGTTGCCAAAGGACGATCTTGAAGACTCTGGAGCCGTGGAGAGCGACTCCCCAGCAGTGATACAGCGAGACAAGGAGGCAGCTCTGCAAAGGGAGGCGGATGGAGCCTCATCTCCCTGGCCGAGAGGAAACTGAGTCCTGGGGAAGAACCCATCTTCCGGGGGAAGCCCTGCCCTCGGACCTCCCTGTCCCTTTGCATCCGCATCCGCCCCCGCGCGCACATGGTTACACCTCGCCTAGATGTGTCCTAATGCCCCAACTCCCCTCAGAGGAGACTGGACCTCCCCACACAGTACCTGAACCCCGCCTTGCCTGTCACCCAACCCTCCCCTCCCCAATAGCTCATCCGCCCCCACCCCTCCCACCTACCCAAACTGGGCCTGTACTGCTAGCAGGTACCCCCGTCCCTCCCATCCATTGCCTGTGCCCATCCAGCAGCACATCTGTAACTGCCTCGCATACAGCCGCGCCTCCTCTCTAGCTAGCTTTCTGTATAACTTGCCCATACATTGCTTATAGCTGTATTTTCCTATCTATACACCTCACCGTCCTCTGCCTCTGTACAGACCCCCACCTACCCCTGTGCCCTATATACACTCTGTACATACTCTGCTTCTAGCGAGGTACCGCCATTAAATTACAGTATCTATCCCCCTGTCCTCTTGCCCTCCATGGATTGATTGCCTGGTGCTCAGGACCCAGCTCAGCCCTTTCCTTCCGGCACGCTGCCTGGAGACAGCCTCCTGACCAGGATCACTGTTGCTCTTCCACCAATTGGCACATCTGCTGCCGGCCCTGTCGGGTCCCTTTGCAGCCCCGCCCCTGCTGCCAGCTCGTGTTCGTACACAGGGCTCGGGAGCTTGGAGGGAGGTCCCACCGAGGTCAGGATTTCCAGTGAAAGCTGAGTCCGTGCTCTCCGCCCCCCCCCCCCCCAACTGGCAAGGCCATCATCCTAACGCTCTCTCGGGTTTAATGTTGTCTGTTGGTTTGGAGAGATGCACCCCGGCATGCCAGCCTCAGTCTCAGGAGACAGACCCTACCGTCAATGACCTGTAATGACGCTAGTCTTGATGCTGTCGGGGGGCGGGGGAAGCAGCTCTCATGCTTCAGACGATCAGCTGATCTTCTGAGGGCTCAGGAAGGAATCCCTTCCCCTCGTGCTGCAGCGTGGCCCAGCCAGCCAGGTGCCTGATGGGGAGCTGGGGAAAGGGGGTTGGATGTGTCAGGCAGTGGCCGCTGTCAGTCTGTTCCGTCACTGGGCTCTAGGGGTGTTCGGGGAACTCAGAGCAGCAGGCTGATCTGAGACCTCAGCGTTAGGGGGCAAGGAAGATTTTGGAAGCTGGGTCCTGTTTCCCCAGCTCACCCCTGGCTTGGCTGGAGCGACCGTGGATAATGTCCCTTCCTTGCCCTGTTTCCCTTGGCGCTGATGTGTGAGGTCCGATGTCCTCTCACTGGTCACTGCATCCCCATTGCTTCCGTGCTGGGGCTGGGAGTCTGGAGGCAAGAGCAGGGACAGCACCGCTGTGCATTTCACATTGCGGGGGTGTTGTCCTTCTCTCAACTCTGGGGAGCGGGAGGAGGTGAAGGTCTCTGGGAGCCAGACCCCAGGGGGCTGAATTCTGTGGCTGATATTTTATGCTTACAGCAGCTCTTAGATTTCCCATCCAAGAGCAGAGCCCCATGGGGCTTGGCACCGTACAGACACAGAATAACAGCCCGCGCTTGTCCCAAAGTGTGGGAAGGTCAGTAAGGGCCTGGAGAGATGAAGTGATTTGCCAGAGGTTACACAGCAGCCCACTGGCAGCGCCAGGGACAGAACCCAGGTCTCCAAAGTAGTTTCCATCTTCTCTCTAGTCTAAAACGTTTCCAATCTGGTGGATTGTCCGTCTCTGTGAATTCCGTCGCCCCTTGGAGAGAATATAGATGTAAAATCCAGCAGAGCTGGTCAAGTTCCCCTGGGATCAGGAGGCGGGATGCTGCCCTTTAAATATGTTTGGACTGGAGGTATTTCATTGTGTCGTGGGCTCTTGCCGTGTGTGTGTTAAACATCCAGCCAGTTCTGCAGGCGGGTTTGCTGGATTGTTGCATATGCTCACCTGTACGTGGAATCCGTGTGAATCCGTGTGGCAGCAGGTGGTGAGCGGGGTTCTGGATTTGTTTTCTTCTCAATAGGATTGGCTTAAGTGAGTCTCTAAAACCCATCCTCAGAAGGTGCGAGCTAGAAACATTTTTTTGTCCAATACAAATGTAATACGGGGCTACCCCGGCAGGTGGAGATCGTATGCGCAGATCTTGTACTTCAGAGGGGACAGTGTAATGTAGTCTTGGACCCACAGCATGAGACCCCAGGGACACGTCACAAACTCCATTCGGCTGGCTCCTGGCTAGACACTCTAACGCTGCTCTCCCCGGCACAGCCATCGTCCCCTGTACTCCAGAGCTCATGTGCCACAGCTGCCCTTTGGAGGGCCAAGATCAGGGATCGGTTTTCAGAGCATGTTAGTTTCCTAAGAAACTGACAGCCCAGCACGTTTTGCATGTATCTCCCCCTTCCCTCGCATAAACGGTCTGTCTCTTTCTAGTGCAGCCCTGCCGCTCTGCACGGCGATCACGCCTGTCTCACCAACTAAACACGTTCAGTGCTAGGATGGGAGACACCCTGGGAGTGCCATGAGGCTGCTTTATACGTACCGGCCCTCTGAGCCAGTGCTGAACAACCGCTTCCAGCAGGGGGTTAGAAGCCACCAAGGGGCTGTTTTCCAGCCGAGAAATACACCTGGCCTGTCACGGTTGTTCAAGATCCTATGGTGCTTTCCACGTGAGTCTGGCATCCCTCAAAGATTCCAGCCTGGGTAATTGCAGTCCCTCCCCTAGCCTCTCTGGGAGATGGGATTCTTCTCCATTTCCTGCCTTAAGAGGTTGGCCGAGGTTGCTGTGAGCTGTGTTCCACCCCAGAGGTGGCTGCATTTCAGTGAGTGGGTGCTGTGAGCCCTTGCCTACAGTGAGTGCCTCAGACTCAAGGTCACTGTAGCAATGTGGAGTTTAAAAAACAACGGGCAAATGGAAGCTTGTGCCCACAGCACTGCAGATGTTTATGGGGCAGGCAGGGTAGATCTGGCCAGCAAGCAAAGCAGCTGGAGCAAGGCATATGCATATATAAATATGCTGTGCTCGCTGTGGCTTAGGAGACTAGTTCTGCTCTTGGCCTTTGGCATGTGAGAGCTGTGCCTGTGTGCAGAGTTACAGTGGCTACCCAGGAGCCAGGGGGGTACCCGCGGTGTCCGTGGTTCCTCTCTGCTGGTCGCCGCGTGAGCCAGTGACAACGGGCCAGGATTCCAGCTGATGCGAGCGGGAACCACTCCATGGGGGACATTGGAGTCCCATCAGGAAGGGGATTTAGATCATGGCATACTGGGAAAGGCTGGGTGCTGTCCTTTGAGGGCCTGCTTCTCCACGGCCCTGCACCTTGGGTAATTATTTACCCAAGTGCAAAATGGGTGTACAACGCTACCATGCCAGAGGGGAAACATTTACACGCACTTGTCGCTGGTGCAAATGGCAAGACCCCAGGCAGGACAGTGGAGAATCCAGCCCAGTGTCACCTCGATATTCCGGATGCTGTGCAGTGTTTTCGGGAAGGATATGTGCCCCCGTTTCTCTACCCCCTCTTGCCTGGCTTCCAGCTCCCCATTTAAAGAAAGCTTCTAGACCCGTGATTCTCAACCAACGGTATGTGTACCCCTGGGGGTACGCAGAGGTCTTTCAGGGGGTACATTAACTCAGATAAATATTTGCTTAGCTTTGCAACAGGCTACATAAAAAGCACTAGTCAGTGCAAACTAAAATTTCATCCAGACAATGATTTGTTTATACTGCTCTATAGACTATACACTGAAATGTAAGGACAATATTTATATTCCAGTTGATTTATTTTATAATTATATGGTAACCATGAGAAAGTCAGCAATTTTTCAGTAACAGTGCACTGTGACACTTGTATTTTTATGTCTGATTTTTATAAGCAAGTAGTTTTTAAGTGAGGTGAAACTTGGGGGTACACAAGACAAATCAGACTCCTGAAAGAGGTACAGTAATCTGAAAAGGTTCAGAGCCACCGGTCTTGACAGAAGCTCTCCAGTGAAGTTGCGAGAGCATTTTCCTGATTCCAGTAAAGTTCCTTGTTCAGTGTTGGAAGAAAGCGACTCTTTTTCCGAGATTCTTTCCCATTGTCACATGACCGTATCGACACGTCTCAGCTTGACTTATTAGGAGCGGTGAAGTCACGAGTTTTGCAGGTTGTCACAATACATAGTCCACCCTGGACGCACCGCAGAGGTGACAGAGTAACCGAGTTTGAGATGCACATAATCAGAAGGGATTTTTCTGTCTCATCTCACTATTATCAGCCTGGTCTCAGACATCCTCCAGCATGATCATTATCTGCATGGCAAGATTCAGACTCCTTCTGTGTTGAAGTTGTTTGTGATGTGGGGAAATATTATTTTTTTACAGGTAGAAAAGTTTGGTTTTGGGTGTCTCTTCTCATCATTCAGACTTTGACTGATTAGATTCTCCCCCAAGTTGGCATTACAGATTCACCCTTTCTGCTCAGAACAAGCATGGAAAGTTTGGCCCCTAAAAAAGAATGTGCCAGAAAGTTACAGAGCAGGGTGGGCAAGAGGTTATAACCGAAACTGCTTTGCTACCGTAACTAGTTCATCTTGGCTGGTCAGTGGTTAGCCCAGGTCAGCTAACACAGTTTGGTTAGCCCAGGACTGTTGTCCCATTTGGCCTGAGCAGTTAGC